CTAGTGTATAGTAGGGAATATAGCAGACTGAGTGCGGACCATCATATCATGGGTCCGCCTCATGGCAGTACTTAAGGACCCACGCTGAGAGAGGTTCTAGCCCCAGACGTGGAGAGAGGAGGTAGAGAGTGGGATCGTCGTCGCAGACGACGATACTCCGCCGGGCAACGAGTTTACAATTTCGAGGAAAATTGCACACGGTTATTTACATAGAAGAACATTAGCAAGTTGATGAGCGTCTTGAAGTCGTGATGGGACAGTCGATTGATAGAGGCGATGGCTGGAGGTGGCTAGTCGGCGACGGCAGTGGCTGGACGGCTGCAGGTACGGGAAGCGGATTGCGACGTCGGTGGTGAAAATAACAGGGTAAAATCACATTATAAATGACTGTCAAAATAGAAAAAATCAGTGGTTAACTTTTCGACAACCGATCTAGCTGTGTTAAACCAGTCTACGAAGCTGCTCTTTCTAAGTTTCCTTGTAATGCCTCGTTCCCACCCTGTGAAACTTTGGTAATTTCGATGGGTCCCTTCCGACTGTTATTCCGCTGCAGCCTTATAATACCAGCTGGCTGCGCCACTGAGGCACCCAAGAGCGATATCTCACTTGAAAGTTATCACAAGAATGCTGAGTTGTGGGCAAAAGTCACTCACCAAGTTAAACGTGTGAGTGCTGATAGGCTACGGCATAAAAGCCGTTAAGCTGAGAGGGTAAAAGCGGCCCTGGTGGCGTAACGGATAGCGCACTCGCCCGGAAAGCGTGAGGTGCGGGTTCGACTCCCGCCTGGGGCACGACTTTTGCCCACAACTCAGCATTCTTGTGATAACATTCGGAACGCGTACTGCGGCGTTAAACAGCAGTTATCATAACTTGAAAGTGTTTTCGCCTCTCCTGAAGGTGACTCTCTCCTGATTAGTGCGCTGTCTATTATGACGGCCTGGCCCTGATTCTTTCCTTATTACGTGCTGATAGGTTTCCCTTTGTCGGGTATGTCTTTTTTGTTGAATGTTTTTCCGTTAGCTTCTATTTTCTAGAGGGCATATTTGTGCATAAGCCATTTGGCCCACCCTGTCCTAATGTATTGCTTTCGGATTTAGCTGAATTCCAAGCTTCATAATTAGGGATGTTTGCATTGGGAAGTATTATCTGTTCAGAAATTGCAGTCATTCCATAGCAAGTGTTGGACCCATTCTTTCGTACATCAAGTAACCCTTTCCCATATAAGGTATGTCCGAATATGGTCTTCGCAACATGGAGACCCGAGGGAGCCCTTTCCATATGACCTGAGCTTATGACCAAGTCATGGTAGTAGTCCAACCCTACTAGGATGTGGGGAATTTGGTGCTCCCCTTGCAAGTTCGAGTTTGCCAAACGAATATTGTTTTCTTTTAGGAATTTAACATCTGTTTTGTTGAGTTTGACGCTTGGGAAGCCGCTTGTAATTGTCGGCTTTGTTTGGATCTTTAGCTCCATTTCTTCACTAAATGCAGAGCATACCTTTATGGTAACCGCATGGGTTTTGAAGGTCTCTACATGGCCACCCATACCCGACATAGTGCAAATCTTGGTAGAATCCCTTGGGATACCAAATCGCTCTGCTGTTTTCTCTTCTATGACGGTATGATGGGCTCCAGAATCAAAAAGGAATAGCACTTTCTCATAGCTTCATTACACAAATTTTGTAGGTTCTTTCTTGCAGACAGGGTCACTGCATACCATTTATCCTGGTCTTCTAGCATTTGATTTCGATAATGTTCAACCATCTGTTCATCATCAAGAGGTTTCAAAAGGTCACATATCCGGAATGGTACTCCATGGGCAGTTGCCATTTTCGAGTTATCTCTTTGAATGTATGTCGAATATATGCTTAGTTTTTTGAGCTTTTCCCTTTGATTGTTGTTGAGCACCCTTTGGAACTTATCCGACCATAGTACTATTTCCTCGTAACTCTCATGTTGAATACATAGGCTCGAACAAACATAGGCTCTGATTCTGACAACGCCGTCTCGTCCTAGAACGACTTCCCCTTTCGTGGTCTCGGTAGGGTGGCTAGTACAGTAACATTCGAATATCCGACTTCTTCTTGGTACTTCATCCAGCAAAACACCGACGAGGGATCCATCTTCAACACCAGTGTGGAGTTCATTCATCAATATCGAAGCAGCCAGCGATTCATCACGTACTATCGGCCCACCATCACCTTGTAGAACTCGTACATGGTGAGTCTGCCTTCCTTTGTGACCCTTCCCCAACGGGACTCTCAGAATAACTAGTATTATGGCTGGCCCTTGAAGACCAGTTATCCTGGTCCTCCAACATTTGGTCCCGTAAACGCCGGACTAGGTCCGCATCAACAACTTCTTTCAGAAGATCACATATTCGAAATACTACTCCGTTCGAAACGGCCAGTTTAGAAGTGTCCCTCTGAACATAGGTTGAATAAATGACCAGCTTTTTGAGTTTATCCCTTTCTTCACTACGAAGCACTCTTTGGAACTTATCCGACCATAGGATATTTTCCCCATAACTCTCATGCCGGGCACAATCACTAGCAGCAACATATGTTTTGATTCTGACTACCCCCCCCCCCTCTCCTGGGATAACTTCTCCACTCGCGTCTTCCGGCAAATCTACATTAAGTGGGCATGCGACGTACATCGTACGGGCGTACATAATACCTATAACACAGAAAATTCATAAAACCCATGAAGTGAACCACGTAACTCCTAGCCAGAAATACGACCCCCCCCCCTCCCAACAACGACCAAATACGACCCCCCCCCTCCAAAACGTCCGCAAAGCGAGAAAAATCAACTATAAAAATAAATTTTTCCCAACCCAAATACGACCCCCCATAGGGAATCCCCAACCAATGCTGTGCCCTGCCTGTAGTTTCTTCGCTGTGGTGCTGGGTCGTACACTCTCGCAGAATACGGACCTTCGTCTGTGATAAATCCTTTCTCTCCAAGTTCAGGACCATTATGCTTTTCTTCATGTTTCGGTCATCTTCAAGAAAGAGATTTTTCGGGGAGCACAGAGTTTCATCCTGTCACGCAACAGCAATAGTCAAAAAGGACAGAATACATGCGATTCCTCTCGCCAATGCAACACCCTGCCCCGCCCCGACAGCTGGCGAAGGGGGCATTATCGGTGACGATGATAGATCCATTCAGCTTACCGTTAGCTTACCTTGGTCTTATTTTTGTGGGAACATTGAGACCAAGGTTCCATTCCTTATAAAGGATTTCACTCACACAGAATAGTTCGCTTTCTTCTTGAGACGTAGCAAGTAAACGGTACAAGTGTGTCAGAAGACTCTGAAGTCAAACGTAATTCTGCCGCACAAGGTCTCCTTTGGGCTAGGGTCACGTGACGTATTATTGTTGAAGGGATAGATAGTACTCGTGCTGGTAGACATCAAGGACATGTAACTTGCAAGCAAAGTGACGTCTAAGGAACGTCGTGAATAGCATCGCGTGCGCGGCATTCACCCCGGATTTGGACTGATTTAACGCGCCAGTGCTACAGTACGTCCAGTCGACTTCCTGTTTCCGCGGACGCTTAAAAATTGCTTGAGCGCGGGGATGGCCTTCAAAACATTTTTTTGGATATGAATTCTTTTCTGCGCCAGATAATGGCATCAATCGTAGAATTAGCACTGGAATGTTAAATATCAGAATAGGTAAGCGGCAGCGATTAGCGTACAGCTCTTGCTAAACGTAATATGTCGCTTGACTATCAATAAAAATGTTTTCAGAAAAACATGCGATTCCTTGTTATACGAAATCTGAACCCGTTGTGTGAACCAGTCATACGTGAAAAGCTCACCACTAAACATCTGACTATTGACGATGGTGCAAGCTTGAGGTGGAGACTGGATTTGGATGCAGTTGAGAGCACGATACAATTTCATGTAGTGAAAGCTACTACATGGAATCGTATCGTACTCATTTTTCATTCCGGATCTGAGTCGTCTAGTGTATGTTTTTAGCGAGAGGCGAGCACTCTGTATTGGTTGGATCCAAGTTGCGGGATCGTGCGCAGCCTAACAGTATTTCCTGGTTACCCTACAAGGTAGGACTCCCTGGTTAAAACGAGATTCCTGTGTTTGGCGGTGATGGTCAATCATTAGCACAAAGCTCTAAGGGTGCGTTTACACTTTGCAGCGCATTCACCCGCGTATCCATAGACATACTTAGGAGTCAGCTATAGATATCGATCCAGCGAATGTCAGGCCCCACCAGCGTTGTCAGCGAACAGCAGCGTCGAGGAGTGGAGAGTATGGGCAATTAGGAGGGTAGTAGACAGCCGGATAAGGCGTCGTGGAGTTGCGGCTTGTGCATACACATCGCACAATGCACTACACCGTACATCATAATTCTGTGCTTTAGCAGTTGCACGGTGCGCTTGCATACGCCACAACTTCTACTACGCATAATCCAGCTGTCTCTCCTACTTCCACATATTCTCCACTTCTGGACGCTGCTGTACTCTGGGAAACCCTGGTGGATGGTGCATGCCGCAGAACTATCAGGGCAGTCTAATCGGAAAACCCATCAACCTGTCGAACCAGCCGTCTTCCCGCAGTAGGTGCTTTTTCATTAGCCGGTGCAAGTGCAAGTGTTGGAGACAGACAGACAGCTCTAGATTTTGACTAGATTCCATTGTTTATTATTCAAGAACGTATGCAATGAAAGCATATGAATGGAAATACTCGTGGATGAAATAGTAAGACTGCATCGAGACCTTGAGAAAGGAGAGGTGTGGGAAAGGACTGAATGATTGTTCCGATTATGCGCTGCGGTGAAGTGGAGAAGGTTATGTAGGTTCTTCGCATTGGTACATATCAAGCTCTTTTCGCAGAATCTCTGATTCTCCAGTTCTTACGAGTCTTGGGTTGGGGAGAGTCAAATAATGATTCTCCAATCCTCTTGCGGCGCAAGATGTAAATGTGGCCCCATGCTGATACAGCGTACAATGAGTGATAATTTTTGAGGTAGTCATTTAGCATTGAAGCTAGGCCTCTTAAGACTTTTGAGTCGAGTAGAAAATCGCCTTGATAAGCACTTGATATACATTTCCTTAGCAGTTTTCTCTCGGCGTATGAATTCTTTAGCGGTGGCGTCGTATTGACTGCGTTCCTTGAGCATCTGAAAATACGCATTCGAAAAAAAGGTAGAAGATCCAATTCTAGCGAACATGAGAGTCAGGGTTTTGAAGTGCATCTTTGTTCTGTTTTCTCCAACATCTTTTCTTATTGGGCTGAAGAGGCGCTAGTTAACCGGTCAAAAGCTCTATATAAAAAAAACGCAGGTGACCAAAACAGAGCAGTTTTTGACCTCATCAGAAAGACAAATCAATAACGCAGGGGAAAACAAGTCGAAGAATGCTTGAGCTCAAGAGAAGCATACGTCAGTCCCTGAGTCAAGCGGCTCATACAACTACCCTAGGGCAGCAAAATTAGTAAAATGTTGAAGGAAGTTGGAAGGTGGAATCTTTGTTGTCTGAATAGGTTCGTTGTTCTCATATACGTAATTTCTGAACTTACTTTATAGAAAGGTAATCGATGTCCGATTTTAGGTTGACCTAGTCGAAGTGATTGTGGTGGTGGCAGTTTTTTCACGGACAGACAGTCAAGTCGTGGCAGTAGGTTGGTGGAAAGAAATGCACGGCCGATCATTTCGTCACATATTCTGTAAAAGGTTAGTACTGTCGACTGATATATTATCCAGGAAGTCCACCAAAAGTTTATTCAGAAGAATTCTTTACAAATCTTGGAAGTAATATAGAAGACGGAGATGCAAATCAAAGTAAACCCCCTACTGACTCGTAACAATACCTGGAATGAGCTACCTGTGATAAAAATGGCGCAAAATTTGGCTAAAAGTCTTGTATAGAATTCATAAGTCTCCGTGCTTCTTGTTCCAATACTTGTACAGCCTTTGGAGAGGTCTTGGAAAGATTTTCTGGATTTATTCTATTACCACATTTTCAGCATGTTTTTTCTCAACGTGCAAACCATCAGTCCAAAAAACGTCGCTGAAAGCCTCTACACTTTCTCTTGCAGATGAAGTTTGATAGGTAGGTAAAAAAGAGAAGAACCTAGATTCTACCAAATTTTTAGAAAATGGGTGTCATTTCGTGTCTCTGGGTGAGATAAGTTTATCTAATGTGTTTTCTTTTACCAAATCTAAGATCTACGCACAAATGCAACTTTTTTTCTAATATAAGGGTCATGCAACGGTCGCATTGTTTTATAGCTGTATTACCTCAATCTTGTGCTGCTCGAAGCAGAATGAGCGCCTGAAGACATGAAATGAGATGACTGAGTGACTGGACCAAGCTTGTCTTAGGACGTCCTTAACGTCGTTATTCATCCCACTAGTATCGAAAAAAAACGGGGGGGGGCGCAGGGGTTGATAATGGATGCATTATCTAATTTCGAGGACTATAGATGATAAGTATAAAAAAATGCAAAATATGTAAGTACATCAGTAATTTTGCCCTATCCTGTATTGATCCATTAATCGTTGATGGTGTCTCCATAAATCACAGAAACAAACCGATCATGATCCAGTACTGAGATACAGAGTGAAGACCCATGAGTGTAGAAGAGTTCTTGAGGAACGAGACTGAAACGGTAATGATTTATAGTGGAAAATTGAATTGCCACTTTACGCCACGTTCAAACTTTGCGACTGGAGGAGAGGAGAATTGGCGAATCGACTTTCTAAAAGAACACTCTTCTAGATGCTATACCAGGTCGCCCGAACCATCACTGCTTTCCTCCGGTGCGAATTCTTCTAGGACGTCGAAAACGTCGATTCCGCTTCTCTCCTATTCTCCCATCGCAAAGAATGACGCAGCGTTAGCATTGTCACAAACACTTCACTTACAACTGGAAATCTTGGTTCCATTTCAGATCCTCGCACTGTGTGAGCGTTCGCGTCTTTTGTACAGAAAAACAATGTGGTGGATAGATACAAGTAGGAAGCAATTCGAGTCGAACGTACGGATCCATTCGATCACATAAACTATTCACTTCTGGTACGTTCTCCAGTCCCAGTACTGAATCTTGAGATAACAGAAGGCAAGATTAAAGGTGTTGTGTTAATATTTACGCATCACCCACATATGATCTCCTTGGTGGTAAAGTAGTTGGACGGGAGGGTCACACCCGTTCTCGGCTCACCAGTGCCCCCAAGGCTGCCTTCATACTTCGCGTCAGTGTATGCCAACGCACGGCATGGTCAGCGTACGACAGTATATGCTAGGGTACGCCTCGTTTTCGCGGGCAATTTGAGCTTGAGTAAGACAAGAGCAGCGCAAGAACGCTGCTTTACGCTGGCGTGCGCTGGCATACTCTAAATCGATACCAATACTTTCCTAGTCTCTGGCGCGGGTATACGCTAAGACAAAGTGTGAACGCAGTTTAGCGGCGTCAAACCGCAATTGGAGAATATCATCACGTTCAGAGGGCGCTGACGAAGGGAAAATGGGCACGATTTTGTATATTGCCGTTTATCTTTCTCCCAACAATCATGACTCAAAATTCTTCATGTTTTTGTATTTTTTTCTCTAGCTTCTAGACTGAAAAGCTGACCTGGTGTGTGGTGACCGCGCTTCTCTCACCCCCACCTACTCGAGTCTTAGGCTTAGGGGAAATTGTGTCTTCTTTGCGAGACTATCCCTCGGTGGCTCTTGTCGTCTGCGGGATCGAAGCAGCAAAATCTTTTTTACAGTAGAACTCTTGTTATGTTTGCTTGCAAGATGATGTTTTCCAATAGAAATAGATCGTTTTACCTTTAATGATGATCAAAACATTGTCGCCTGTTGTTGGAATATGGCCGACTTGGATACTGATGCGAGATGCGCTGAAATGACTTAGTAATTGGAAATTAAAAGTCGGCTTCAAAATCATATCACAATCAGTCTACAGCGGTTTGCTGATGATGTCCTTAATTTCTTTTTTTGCTGTATCTAAAATGAAGTTGATGCAATTGCTAGGAAGGAAGGAACTACCTGCCTCAAGAAACACTTCTGTAGAAGCTTTCGTGGGCAGTTTCTAGTTTCTCGCTTTGTAAAACCCCAGCATTGTTGTTAACGTCTGGTGCTTTTTTGAGATTGGTGGGAGGAACTTTTACTGATTGCCTATCGTTTTATTCAAATTGTCGCTTTCATAGGTTATCCGTTATCGCAAGTTTCCGCAGAAAACGCTAGACAGAAGATGCACTTGGCAGTGACTCGACCGAGCAAATATCAGATTCTGAGGCGCGCTTGGCCTTCAGGAACACTGATCTGTGCCCCCGACCCCCGTTTTATTGTTTCGAACGAGTTCAGGCCAAGCTGTTTGAACAGTTTAAGTATCTCACCTTTCGTAACTGCTGCTGTCCGTGTCTTCAGATATTCGGGCATAATATGAAAGAATGAGTTCGTTGGTCGTAAAACTGTACATATGTACTAAAGATGTCACTTCAGAATACTCCGATGGACTTTCCAATATGCTACAGATCGCTTTCAGTGATACCTAGAATCAGTTCCTTGATTTATTGGATCATTCAAGTGATAGAATAATCAATCCTTACATAGATTTCGGTGTAATAGTCTGGAGTTTGCGCTTTTCGTAGATTTCGCAGGATTTCTGTTTCGAGCATTTTATGAAGAATTCGAAGAGCCAATTGTGAACACCTGAACAGTTTGCTGCTGCTTTTTGTTTCCTCTGACTTTACGGAGAACTTTTCGGCGCTGACTGTAATCACACATTGCTCCGACGAAGTTCATCTCCTTGTGCAAAGTCTGCGAGGCTACTTTTACATTTGATCATCTGCTGGCTTTACCGATTTACCTCTCTTACAATGAGATAGTGGTGGGGTAGTCAAGGACAAACTGTACCCTCACCTCCGTGTATTCTAGTCCTTGCCGTGGTATGGAGCATGGGTCCGCAGCTGCAGTGGCGTGCCACTTTCAAGCTAATGCCGTTTGGCGCGCTCACTTTTGACTGCAGGCTCATTTTAAAATTTTTATTTCATAACCAAATCCGCTTAAACTTGTATATATAGAGGTTCTAACATCGTGACTGCGAATATGACATTCATTCTTGACGCTGGCGCTAATGGAGAACACTACGATTATCTTCTGGGTTCAGCTTTAGCAGAGGGCAGATAATCGTAGTGTTCTCCATTAGCGCCAGCGCCAAGAATGAATGTCATAGTCGTAATCAGGATGTTAGATTACCTCTATATACAAGTTTTCAGCGGATTTGATGATTTAGGCACTTCAAAAATAATCTCGCAGCCCAAAGTCAGCACGTCCAAACGGCATTAGCTCCGCTTTCTGCGGTCAAGTGCAAACGGAGCGGAAGGGTAGTGTTAGGCAGCGTTCAGATTCGCGACGGTCGCGCGTTCGACGCGATTGATGCGCACGCTTCTGACTGCATGGATTGCGTCCAAAGCGCGACCGAAGCGCTGCCGTCGCGGAGAATGAGCGCCGCCTTACTCGAGTGCTATCTCCATACTCCGCCCGCACTGCCGCACGATCTGCCACGTCCCTTACCATAGCTAACACGCTACTTGTTTGCACTCTCTTTTTTCTAGTGGTCCTTTACCGCTGAGTGCGAGTTACGTTGTGAGGCCTTGGTACGACGCAGGCGCTGCACCTTGGGGATAGCACGAGCGGAGTATGAAGACGGCAGTCGGGTACCACCACCCTACAGTCGCGTTCTCGTGCACTTTTGGGTAGACAAAGTGGCACACTGCTAGCTGCTGACCCGTTAATTCGCACATGGAAGGAACCGCCCTCGAAGGCAAGTGTACAGTGTGTCCTCAACAGGAAATGGTAGCCATAGGGATGATGAGTCAAGCCCGAAACAATTTGTCCCGGCCAAGGCTTGAACCTATCCTCAAGCTTTTGGAGCAAGTGTGTTAGAAACTGCACTAGAAGGCGACCTCTGTCGGCTGTCTGCTGCCCCTCTCTCAGAGGTACAGAGGTTCCATGCAAAAAGTTTAACTTGTACCAACGCCCATACTCATGCCCACGCGCGGGCCATCAACTGTGCTAACCCGAAGCGGTATCTCATGTTCATACCTGTCTCACATAATTATTGGGTCGGCCCATAAGTAATGCCTTTTTTCCACTCGAAATATCGCTTTAAAAAGAAAAGTTTTGCCATTGAGTTTCATACCGTTTTGCAGAGAATTCCTTGCCCTACACGATGGTCTTCTTAATTTTCTTCAAGTTTCTCTTTCCACTAATACTTAAGTGCTCAAACTGGAACGAAATTGAGCATTTTCGAAAGCCTCTCTTTTATACCTCTAATTAAAAACTAAAACCGCATGGGCCCAGCTGCTAAGTATGTGGCTGAAAGGCTGTCTCTTAGGAATGCTAATAATACTTTAAGTGATTCGAAGATTTCAGTTTCGACCTCACAGACAAGCATCGAACCTAATGCCCTATTCTGTCCAACTGAGAGCTTACGGAATTACCTTATTAACTGAGAATCATGCCAAAGATTGAGGAATCGTTAGAGGTCATGGAATGCTTCCTTATCATCGCCAACCACCATCCTCAGTTGACCTTAAACGTTCGGAAAATAAGTGGGTAGGTTCTGCAGGCAGTCCCCCCCCCTCAAGACAGCCCCCCCCCACGCGATGCTCTTTTACAGGGTCCGAACTCCCACCTCCTTATCGCTTGAACCAACTTCAAGCTGTCCTAAGACGCATCTTTCTGTGATCATAACCGAAATAGAGAAATAAAAATCGACACATCTGCGGGACGGTGTCAGGAGGGTTGATTGAGCCTGCCCGCGGCTGCGTTTTCTCCCAGTGGTGGCAAGATGAATTGGAAAACAAGTAATGGTACAAAAAAATGGGCTCATTCCACGTCTCCTGACACGCGCCATTAAAATAGCAACAGTATCAGCTTACCGCCATGCTCTTGGCTTTTAGATGTGGCGTTCGTTCTTTTTCTTCAACCCTTGTTTTCATCTCTCTCCATACTCTTAGAAACTCATCTCCTCTAAGAATATGCTGCTCTCACCTTGAAAGAAGATCTGCACGGACGTCGCAGGCCATTCTGTCCACACTGTCGAGATTTGCGTGTATTTTCTCCGCAGGTGATATCTCCCGCATGTAGACCGCCTTGAAAACGATTCTATTAGTTCATTCTTACACAGCAACTCTCCACTGGTCACTCACCAGTTTTTTGTTATGTTCATAGCTTTCCAAGGTGATATTACGAGCGATTTTGGAGACACAATCCCGTTTGCCTCGGCAGTATATGCGCAGAAGACCGTCGATAATTTGGTCACATCTCTGGAACGGATTTTTTGAGGAAATTTTCTTCTTTCTGTACCGCTTCACAAAAGCATGTTTTTCAAGGTCATGGGCGTTCATTCTGGATTTTCTGACCGTTTTTCTCATTTCTGGCTTCCGGGACTGTATCTGTGAAAACAAACAACTGGTGAAAGGTTCTGCTTGCTCTTCCCTATGATGGCTTGTGGTCGACTCACAGCTACGCTACGGACATCGATTGGCCTTTCTTAGTTAAGGTGACTTGGGAAACTCTCTAGTTACTGCTCACCATACCCCGTGTGGATAACAGAGATCCCTTTTTTATTTTCTTGGAGAAAGGGATCGTAGTTTTGGTTTCACGCGCGCCTCCCTTTCTTGGGTAGCCATGCTGCAGAACTACTATTATGTGGATTCTGGTAGCTGATCTGAGGAGTCCAGCTGCTCCCCCTCCCCCTCCCTCCCCACCGCTCGCCCAGAAATCGGAAGTAACGCTACATATCCATCTACCACCGTACACCTCATCAACTTATAGGTTTTGTGTGTGCTGAAAAGGGGCTTAATATCACTTCCTCTCAGCAGGTGTGCTAGGACCTGCTACGATGAAGCATCGATAGAATGTTGACGCACCCTCCTAGCGCTTTCAAGCACTTCCATGCACGATTTCTCTATGATGGAAATCTCTTCAGCAGGGATAATAGAAGCCATTCGATCGAATTCGACAAATCGCCGCCATCGCTCCGAAACAAACAACATCGCTTGTTCGATACCGTTTGCAGCACGAATGATACGAGACTCCTGAAAACCAATACCGATCATGCTGGTTGAAACTGATTTGATTTTCACTCGCCTGGTCAGAGTCGTTCATCAATGCATCATTGTAAAGCTTCTTGGCGTATGCATAAATATTTTCGGAGTAGATCTAAAAATCACCGAGAGGTTTAGTGTGAGGATGATTTTCCAGTTCGTATGACTAGGATACTGACATGCACCAACGACATCGAACCCATCACCATATTCTCCGGACGTTTAAATGCCCAGCACATTGAGGTAGTCGTCAGAAAGACCTAGAAGAGAAGAAAATTCCATATTTCCACCTAGAGGTCGCTTTTGAAAAGGCTTTCCAGGATTCGCAGTGCACTCAGCTTCTTTTTGGACGGATCGCAAATGCACTGGACTAGCCCCTGCTCTAACGACGATCATCTTCGCGTGTTTTTTTTTCTTCAAGAGGGTTCTTCCACCCTTTAAGGCAACTAGCCCCTCAATAGGTGGAGCGAGGTCCATTATAGTGCTATTTTCATAGATGCACCCTTGTTTCCTAAGAGGCTAAAAAGGATAATTACGCCAGCGATGAAAAATCATCGGTGTTCCTGACCCCGCTTGAACTACCTACGTGGACTATGCAGTTAAAGACAGCCCCCCGCGCTCGGGTAGTACATGGTCGTCCTTCCTTGTGCAAGTAGTTCAGCCCCCAAGCTAGAGACTGTCCCACTCTCGCGACTCCACAGCGAGCGAGGAGCGAGCTACAGCCGCTGAAAGTGCTAGTTCCAGCGCCCGCTCAGTTGGACCGTCCACTTGCTCGGTGCCCTCTGACGGAGAGCCGCTCTGTTGCTCTTTGTTGGGGCGGAGGGCTTTAATCGGAATTGGCCCGGACGTGCCGGTTGGGTGTGTGCCTGAGACTGGCGCCTGCATGGCCGGTGAGATTTCTGGCTCTCTTTCAGTGTAGAAGTTGTATGGTCAGTTAGGGGAGGTCACATACAGGTGGCAACGCCAACCATCGGTCGCAAGGGGAAGGACGCCTAGGAAATCGACGAGCGAAGCCAATGTTCGGGTGGGTGGCAAAAGAGCTGCGGACGCGACCAGTGGACAGCGAGAGAGATGGGCGAGCAGCGTAGGCCGTGGGGGTAAGCATGAGAAGTTTGTGAGGGGAAGCGCGTTGTAGTGTGGTGGAGGAGGTTCGTGTTAGTGTGTGTTGAGAGATTGGTTTGTCAGTGGGTGGGTGTCGTTGGTGTTGGTGCAAGTGAGATGTGCGTGTTCGAGTGTGGCGAGTGTGAGTGGGATACCACCTAACGGCAGATGTGATAAACGACATTGTGACCAAGGGGTTGCACAGACCGCAGGGCGGTGGACTCGAGAGAGGGAGGCGACGGTGGTGTCGTGTGAGGGTGGTGGCGTGGGTGGCGGGGGGAGGGAGCGCCTGTCTGTGGCTGGGTGTGTTTGCTTACTTGTGGAGACGTAGGTGTATGCGGAGGCTGAAGGCGGGTGGGGCATGGGGAGAGAAGGAGGGGCCGGAGATCGGCGATGGGGGGGGACCGGCTGGGTGTTGATCGGGGGGAACTGTCCCTTTAAGGCTGCGACAAGTGGTCCACCGTTGGTGGGGTTTGAGGTGGCGCTGCGGGGAGGAGTGGTGGGTGGCGAGGAGCTGGGGCGCGCGAGCGATATCCCACTGAGCGCATAAACGTAGCAGTTGCTGCTATGTCACAGGTACCTTTCTGCGATACATGAGAGGAAAGAACAGGGATGAAGACATATATAATAAGAGGGGAGTAGAGACCGACAGCGGTAGTGACGACGTGTTATACTTTGTGGCGGTCACCATCGTGTTTAGAGAGATTGGTGCGAGAGTCACCACTAGAGAGGAAGGACCATGCGAGTTGTGGCTGTCCACAGTGAAGTTTACGTACTAACCATCTTAAGGCTAATTATCGGTCGGCCATGAAATAATGCTCCAGAATATGGGTACGTGGTTGGGAGGAAGGGCCAGTGGCCCGCAAGAGTGGCGGTGATAGGCTCGATGTCGGTGCGTCAGCGGAGCTGTAGACAGAGTGGGTAGTGGGGCGGGGGTGGAGGAGAGAGAGAGCATAATTGAAGGAGGCGAAGGTCGTGTTGTCGAGATAAAGCCGTTTTGAGGAGATGTGTGTGGGCGGGGGGCCGGGTGGGGGCGGCAGCAGATTTCGTCTGGGTGAGGGGAGTGAGTTGGAGTAATCGCTAATCCTGCACCCATAGGTTTGCTGAGGAGGACATCAAGCGCGCAATCTTTTCTGCGACGATATTGCAACATTTCTTCAGTTAGAGACGTCAACGATTATCAGGTAGCCAGGTTCATAATGGCGGAGGCTTCACCACTTTTGTGGCACAGAGGTAAGTGACAGTGGCACTGAGGCCGCCATTTACCATAGGAACTCCACTCAGCGATTGGTGGTCCCACCACCAGAGCCGTCCTAACTGCAGAAATGAGAATCTCATTTGGAGCGGTGTCCATGAATTGGGGCGCTAACTTGGGAGGGGGTAGGGACCACTCACCTGCACCCCGTATCCCTTCCTCTAGGTGAGCTTAGGCTCAGTGGAGACCCCTTGTCTGTGGGGATATACTCTCGTCATCTGTCATAAGTGTGAGCCTTTCGGGGAAGGAATACAGAAGGCCGACAGGTGGTTCTCTAGCTAACTTAGCGCCTGAATTCTTCTGTTTTCCGTTCATTCGTAGATCAGTTGGTACCTACGAATTCATATTTGTACCCTTCTATCAACAAATAGCAAAACGTATTTTTGATCCGAAACCGATTTGGCTACGGCGTCCGTTCTTCGCCTGAGTCTTACCATTAAAGTTGGCCCAACGCGTACTATACGATTAGACGTTAATAGAGAGGGGTCTTTTAATGGAGATTTTTCTCTTCGAAAGAGGACCTACCCATTCTTCTGTCCGAAATTGGAAAGAGAGTTGAGCGTGTCATATAGGCGCATGGTGCACTTTGTAAACGTCTCCAGCTGATCAGTTTGGCGTGAATCCAACTGAGCGAGTCGTTCTGACAAGTACACACAGCTGAAGGACTCCAGCTGAACGTGACAATGTTTTAGCGTTGCTAGAAGGGGCATTACTGCTTTCTCAACGCTGACCTTCTCATCAATAGTTTTTAGTACCACTTCAACGTAGTTGATGTTGAATTGGTGGAAGAAAAGTTTGTAGCTTTGGTAGTTTCGTTGCATCATTTCCCACATCGTCTGGATCGTCATCCATCCCTCCTAAAATACAGGAGGTTGCTCCTCTCAGGACAATAAGCACTCATATACAAGAGTTGAACAGACTTTTACGTTTTCGGTTTGTGGCCGAAACTCCTGCCGCATCCATTCTTCTGCGCAGTCGGTGACCATGTGGACGAGTTGCTCGGTGATTGTCGGTGACGGGTCATGTGTTCCGCATTGATCCCATATTGGTAGCATACAGATATCAACCACTGTCCTGTACTGTGAATTTTTTCCTAGGAGTTAGACATTTGATTCTTCTCCCCCCCCCCTCCCCATCACCCGTTCTAGTAAGAATAATAGCCTACTTGAGTGCTGAATTCATTCTCTTCAAAATATGGTATCCATCTGGTGGAAAGAGTGGCTCATGGGAGAATTGCTGTAGAACGTCATTCAGCTCTGCGGCAACACACTCGGCCAAATGTCCCAATGCGGTATCCTTAATGTACTTCTTTTAGCTGTCTTCTTAGTTAGGTGTGTTTGAAACACTGAAATAAATTCTATAAACTTGCCAGCAGGTCACTTTTCACAAGCATTGTCTTTATACCTTTGAGTTTTTTTAATCAGACGCAGTGATGGGGCGTTTCTCTCGAGAGACGCTTTTGAGGTCTTCAACAAGAAATATTGGACAATGTTCTAAATATAAGCGGTGGTTATACTCCGTCATGAAAAAATTGGTGAGTATTTTTCTGAGAAGGTTGAGCCTATAGTTACAGTCGTCATCTAGTGAGTTGATTAGGGCAGCAAGGGATGCGACGCAGCTGCGGTGTGTTGGGCGATCAGCTGTTTCCAGCCCACTTAGCCATTTCCCCTGTTTAAGCTGTTTTGGCTGCTTTCTCACGATAGTACTTCTTGTCATTGCCAAGGTAATTTAGAGTGAGATTCTTCGCTTTGGTGTACAATTATAAAGTTTAAGCAGGCAATGACAAATTACCTGCGAGAAAAAATCGTAAAAACACTATTGCCATAACGAAAAACACCTCCTCGTCTATATTACTCATAAAAGACGATATTAAAACAATTAATTCTAAAAAAAAGAGGGTAATCGCAAGAAAAGCAGCCAAACCAGCGTAAACTAGGGAGAAATTGGCTAAAATAGGCTGGAGACAGCTGATTGCCGCGATCGCAACACACCGTAGCCGCATCGCGTCCCTTGCGACTGCTTTAGGTGCTAGGTGTCTCGCCTTGAGAGGGACCGCACAGGGCAAATCTACGTTGAGGCTGTTCACATTCTTCCAATCGAGGCGGCTTGACCTGTTTTGACAACCTGATCCGCCAAGTTATCCCCCTTTTCCATTCGTTGACTTGGCAAAGCCGTTGGTAGTTTGGCCATCTCAGTCTAACCACGCTTCTCACCCTTTAGCGTCAACTGGATCCAGACCTGCAACTTTGTATTCGAACATGGACCGTTCCTCCAAGACTTTGTATAGGCCATACCGCTTTCCATATACCACCAGGATTACCAATGAAAGTTGGTGCCTAGCCCATAACAAGTAAAAGTTGATCAATCTCGGCATTTTGCTTTTCTTTTTTTAAGTGCGGTGCGGTGCGATATGTTACTTGACAGAAGGAATGGCTTATCCCAAACAGCATTTAGTAAGGGAAGCATGTCGTCACAAAACCGGGAAAGCAGATCACGCTCCACAGTTTACAACCCTGTAAAAGGAGGTATAGGTAGAAGTGAAATGGCTGAGAACGGCTCATCGCACTTGCAGGGTTTCCAGAAGAAATTTCGAATGCGAGAACTTTGCCAGTTCAGTTCCGTCGCGCCCGTTTTTCTAATTTGTATTACCCTCTTGAATGGAGAACCGAATTCATGTAGACTACGACACTACAGACATTTACGGATATTTTTGAACATACATTCTTATTGCTGGCGCCAAGGATGACACTACGATTACCTCTGGGCTCAGCCTTAGCAGAGCGCAGATAATCGTAGTGTCATCCATTAGCGCCAGCGACAAGAGTGAATGTCATATTCGTAATCAGGATGTTAAACTACCCGTAATCAGGATGTTAAACTACCCCTATGTACAAGTTTTTAGTGGATTTGGTGACTTAGGCAATTTAAAAATGAGCTCGGTGCAGAAATTTAGACAATTTAAAAATGAGCTCGGTGCCGAAATTTCTGGAGTCCAAACGGCATTAGCCCTCATTGTCGCCACCAACGAAGCGCCGTCATTTGCGGACGTCGCACGTGAGGCTCGCAGCGCAGCGAAGTACGATTGTGTCAAATACCCGACCGCAATATCTGATTCTTGCTGGCACAAGCGGACGTTCCATATCGCCTCAGTCAACTGGGTTGGTAGAGGGTGTCTCTAGGGATAAAAACGCTGGGCTGCATATCTATCAAGCTTTTGAGTGACCATGCCATGTCCTCAAATTCAAATATGCATACAACGTATATGGAAGTCAAACCTGCGAAAGTACTGTGTGCAATGAGGAACCGTAGGAATCGAACTGTGCCAATCGTTCATCCTTCATTGAATTGGCAGTCATTCCGAAGTATTCATCAGATTATCACAAACTTTTTTCACACCCAAGCCACAATAGATAAGGAATAAGGAATGGAACATCTGGGTTCAATCACTCATATTTTTGGGATGCGCCGCGCACTTGACTTCTGTACAGAGTCGGTATGGTTCTGGTGTGATTCGAATCACACAACGACAAGGGAAGCTAGTTAATGTTAAGCCTTTTATCTTCCCAAACAAATCCAGTGTCCAATAACCAGACCTGACAGGTAGTTGGCTCGTCTGACCTGGGCAAGAGCTAACCCCGCCGCATGGGAAGCGATGCCGCTTGCCACTACAAAGTTCTGCTGATTGCAGTAAAAAGCTAAAATGGAATAACATACGAGATTTTCAGAACTTCTGATGGTACACTGAAGAATCTGGCAATGCATTGAAGAAGTGAAAAGGAACGATCGGATAGCATGCCGGAAAAATCGCCCGTCTGAAAACAAATGTAAAGGCAAGTACGAGTTCACAGAATGTGAAGGGAACATCGTTTTGTGCCCTTTAAAGAAATAGTTCACGCTGGGAGTGTTTGTGGAGTATGAGCACAAGTTTTATTCGCTGCGGATGCTGGAGTTCTCCAGGCGGGGAGGGGAATGGGTTTTGGCGCGGCGGTAGCCAGATTCCACTAATTACCAGGTTCTACATTTGCTGGAGAATGGGCTAGCGCCGCTCCAAACCCAGTCCCCTCCTCCCCCCACTTCCAGACACGCTCCTGATCCGCAGCGAACAGGACTGAATCTTAGGCGTTTGGTCACTTGTAGGTAGTCAAACCTCTACTAAGTATCCCTCGGTGAGTGGCCGCTTGAATCAGCATCGGGCCATCTCACTCATATTCTCAGCCCAGTGCAAAACACTATTGTGACTGTGCAGCTCCTTTAGATATGGAAGAGGATGATGACTATGAATCTGCTTACCGTGCCTCCGGCGTCGTACTCGTACAAGGTCCTTGTCATGTCCAATAAATCTTCAAAATCAAGGTGAGGCATGTCATCATGAACAGTATTTTTCTGAATGCAATTTTTTTTTATGAAGGGATCCAAAGTGGCTTATGAACGGAAAGTTATGATTACGTCGTGCTTGCTGGAGCTCCCCCTCTGAAATGAGTAACCTCGTTTGTACAGTTTTAGCTGAAGGCAGTGGGCACGATTGCTGGAGGCGGGTGGTTGTTGCCAGTCGTCACTGGTAAGAGGACTGCTATAGAGCTTCAGGGCTTACTCAGCCGTGGCTACAACCGCCCGCTCCTCAGCAGTCGTGCCACTACCTCTAAGTTTCCAGTCAATAGCATTTGGTTTCAGTTACACACAAAGGGGCCTTTAGGTAAGTTGGCGTCGGCTCTACTTTTTTTTATTTTAGTAGCTTTTAATAGCTCATAATGCACCGACATGGCCCCGTAAATACTGGGGTGAAGTTCAGGAGACCCCTGTTACGGAGACGCAGTGAAAGCGTATGCGCAGCATTCGCACCAAGATCTCATTTATTTATGAAAGTGCTACGGTATGTCGAATAAGCTAGCCAGGAAATCACTTGTGTGCACGTGACGTCAATTAATTCCATGTAACCTAGATCATAAATCCATATAACCTCGGCTGAACTCACAATCATTTTGAGATCGACAATGTATTGATGGCCTTTGTAGAATATCGATTTTTTGACGGAACTATTGATTGGCAGTTGTGAAAGGGAGACGCTTTCGTCTTCTTTCCGGTCCAGTGACATTATGCTAAAATTAAAATCCAGTAATGGCAGTGATTTCTTGAAGTCATGATGAGCAAGGGTCTTACCGCTTCAGAAAAGATCCGGATCGTACCATTGCTTTACGTTTATCGCCATTGAACCGAGCAATTGAAAATTTCAGCTTGAAGTTTGTATGGCACCCGATATCGCTTAATTAATGGCCAATTAATTAATCCTTCACCCGTTACTGACAGCGATTGTATTGAACAACGGGGATCCCATTCATTCCATTCCCCACGAAATTGGCTATATCGATTGATTTATCAGGTTTTTCAATCAATGATTGTGATATTTTTAGCAGCCGCCTTATCAATGTCCCGTTATTAGTTTGCTGGTTATCGAACGAGCATCACGAACCTATAAAGGCCAAAGCAGCGGAAAAATGTTCTGGAATGCACATTCCAGGTATTGATTGAAGTCTAGAAGTTGTCATCTGATCAGTCACCAGAATGGATCAATGGCAATCATAGTCAGAAAAGGAGAAAGGTAATCCATTCCTGGTAGCATAGAGACTTCAAGGAGGTTGTACATGGCCGCTCAGGAGGGGAGGAAGGGGGGGGGGGAGAGGTCGTGATCGCAGGGTCTGTGAGCACCAAGCACTGCAAAAGTGTCATCGCTAATGGTAAGTATTCATGGAGCGGAAGCAGTACTGTATGGGACCCGGTAAGGGGGAAAGCAACAAAATATTGAAGTCTGACTGACGATATTAACAGTTTGACAGATGACTAAATAATACATCTCAAGCAGGTTTGTGCGCGACTTTTCCGAGCCCTAGGAGAAGCATCTGCTTGCATGGACAAAATACCTAACATTAGAGGCATATCGAGACATTCCATAACCTCTGCGTGGAAACGTAATGCACGGCGCATACGCAGATCAAATCGATCGGGGATACCCAAATAATGCTTTTGCTCAGCTTATATAGAATATGTGTTTCGAAGGCAGATCGAGACTTCGGAATGAGTTTCTTACAGCAGCATCGAGAAGTGCAGCTTCTGAGTGGCCCGGAATTTCGCCCATCTAAAACGCCATCTAAAATATCTTCTATTCTAGCGTCTGTACCACGAAACTGTAGAGATTTTTGGGAAGGGGAACACACAGCGCTTTTTGGAAGAGATGCTTTTTGTTTTGCACGAGTTTACAGAGATATAGAGGTTATTTCTCGTCCAAGCATAAAAACTCGCGTGCAATTTGCCACAAACCCATCTAGAACCCCTCCAAATTTTTTTTCTCCTACAGGGAAAGATTGAGACTACGGATAACAAGAATACGAAGCAGCGGTAGCATCGCTTTAGAATACGGCCTTCCGTTTCTCAAAAGCCCCGCACCTGAAAAAGTGATCACCCCCAGAAGAAGCCCTGTGATTTTCATCACGTCAACAGGTGTGCTCCAACGCCATTCTGCATTCCAGAACATTTTTCGGGCTTTCATCACGACTGCAAACGCTTGCAAGTCGTTGCATGTATAACCCTTCTCGTCGACCAGCAATTAGAGCTGGAGGGGGAGGGGTTGTTGGGGGGGGTAGTCGCACTGACACCGCCATGTCACACATCACGATGCTGTGCCCTGCTTGCAATGCCTCCTTCATGGGAACGTAAATGTGAAGCCTCTTCTCCTGTTCCGTTAATGTAGTGGTGGATTTTTCACCCAGGAGGTGTCGAGATTCATTAAGTACACACAGCAGCTTTCGGCAGGCCATTTGAGTTGAGATTGGTCATACTCTCATTAGTGCTGACTGGGTGGGGGCAACGGAAGATGGGAAGTGAGGGCTTTTCTCACCCAAAATTTTTCTTTATGAGACTGGGAGGTTCCCTTCTTGTTGGTGCAGGTTTAATTTTTTTTGAAAAGTCGGATAATTTTACCCTCCTATGCAGGTATATGGTATATAAAGACGAAAAGGTATATGGTATATAAAGACGAAAAACTCACAATGTATAGGTTTCCTCACTGTTGGCGGTGTACTGCTTACAAGTTTCTTCACTGGAAAATCGAAAATTAATTGAAGTGTGTAGCAACATTTTAACTAGGTGGGGCAGTCTGGTGCAGAGCATACGGAACATTTACACTCAAAATCCCTGAGAAGGCGTGGCTGCATACTCGGATTGAAAGTGGCGGCGGCTAGGCTTTTCGTTTTCGTGAGATATTTTGGTTTGGATATTGTTGTAATGGGGCAGGAGGTGGTGTAGTGACAAGTGGCGCGCTTACCACTCGCGCGGTCCTGGGTTCGAATCCCAGGTCGACTCCCGCCCAGGCCAACCAAGCCTTCTACCCTCCGGGGACGGTAAATTGGTACCAGATTCGTCTGGGAGGATAAACTGACTTGTACATCGGCTGGCCACCGCAAGTCATTGTATAGGCCACATCGCATTCAATAAGCCACTACGATTCTGAATGGAAGTAGAATGCGTGCCGCATCCCACAAAGGGATTGATCAACGGCGAAGACTTTATCCTTTTTTTATCCTTTAATGATCTTTGTCTAACATAGACAAGACGACAGTTATCTCAAATCGAAATATCCCGCCACGCTATGCCATGTTCTAGGCCATGACTACTTCGCCCCAAGAGTGAAGAGTGTATAAGCTTATACGGCGAAAAAAATTTCTTCTATTATCGACTGTTGGGAAATGTGATACCCACTGCTGGTTAGGCAAACAAGACCTCCGTACGGGACTACCCACCTCGAAGAAACACTAATAGGACAATGAATTTGTTTCATCCTATGCATTTCGTAACCTTGCAGTACAACTTTATGCAAAGTTTTGAATATCGTAACTCGGACGAATGATTGCACAAAATGCCCCACCTTTGCTAGGACAGAGATAGGTTTTTTGAATATGAGGGTAAATGTGTGAACAAATTTTAAACTTATTCAGTAAAATACTAACTTGAAGATGTAGAGTACCATGGTTTGCGTTGCGGGAAGATGTGCAACCACTTTTAGTTGATAGAACACCTGAAAACGGGCAGAGAAGTCTGGGTCCTTTCACAGCCTGTTTTGTAGCTCTCCAAGGCGCTGCGTGATTTACAAATGGTGCCGCGTGCGTAGGCGCAACGTCTGGGTTCCGATGACAATTTTTCTCGTTCCGCTGCAATCTCTTCGCTGCATTCGCTGTAGACGCTGGAACGTATGAGGAGGCTGGGTTTGGCGCGACGCCAGCCCATCCTGCACCAATTGCTGAAACGGGCATGGGACAAAATTTGGTGGAAAACGGCTTTTGTCGCGCCAACCTCCCCCTTCCTTTCCCCCGCCCCGCTCGCTTCACATGGTCCTGTTACGAAACCCTGTGACGCAGACGGATAGAGGGCAGCGGCTGCCAAAGCATCGAAACGTGCAAAAAACGTATGGCGAGCCAGGAAACGGGATTTTTCAAGGGGAGGGGACTCCGGGGTGGGTGAGCTACTTATAGTCGGTGAAAAGCTGGAGTGAGCGAAGTCACAACGGCCATAGAGTGCCATGCGGACGAGAGAGTGCAGAGAAAAAGAGAAGATCGACGCGTCAAAGGGATTGAGTTCAGGTTGTCCGCAGACCGCTTCATTATGTGCAGCGAACAAGACTACGTTTTTTCAGATTATAAGAGATCGCGAATTTTTTCAAATTGAATTGTTGCAAGGAAAATACAGAATGTTCAAAAACGGACCAGTCGGAGACACTGGGAGAGCAGCTGCTCGTGTCTCACAGCCATCTGAGGATATACCTGAAAAAATTCTGTTAGATTACGAAATCAGACCTATTCCTACGATTGGCTTACTGACTTCTTGGAGATGATCAAGCAGTTGGGTCCGCAGGGCTTTGTTTTCGTCGTCACTGCCAAACAAAATTGCGCAGATAATGGCCATATAGCCATCATCCTTCATTTACTAACATGAAAACAATCAGTCATGGAAAGAAATGAAACTATTCTCAAATTAATACGGCAAGTTTTTAACAGTTTTAACATCAATATCACATTACACATTAATAAACAAATTTATTGTGTTCGTAGTGAGCTGAAAATACATCGACAACATCAGAAATTTTGGCTGTGGACAGGGCTCGTTTTGTTACAGGTGCGAAGTTTCGCAAAAAACGACCCCCCCCCCACGTTACCACTCTGGTCTGATCGCCTCCATCATCGTACTGACCTTTTCAAATTTTTCCGCAAAGCTTCCTGGTGTTTCCCTCGAAGCTCCATTGAGTGAGAGAGGGGAGCAAAGAGCGACTAACACGCGAGAAAGCGTAAAACTAGGGAGAAAAAACGGCTTAAATAAGCTTTGGAAACAGCTGCATCGCGCGGTCAATGACGCACCGCCAGCCGGGGCCCGTCCTGCGACCCTTTGACCGCCTAATCAACTGCCCGGATAACGGCTGTAGTTCACAGCGTGCTCGACCAACATTCTGTTGGTGGAACGTCCATCCATGATTTATTTGAACTAGTCATGAGATAATACAACTCTACAAACGGCTGCGCCGAGCCACGCCAAGCCCTCCAGCACGGCCACCTTGGCAGGGCCCCCGCCCCGACCGAAGCGATGCATACCCGTCCAATCCGAGTGTCAAGATGAAGGGACTCATAACGGTGAGTACCAGCGATCGTCGCACCAGAAAGTAAGCGATGACTCTAGTCGAAAAAGTGCAGTAGTTCAAAAGAACACACGACCATGTGACAGAGGTAAAGGCGTCCTCATCTCAGGACATAAGCATTATCAGGGGCTTTTCCAATTGTTAGCCATTACCAGATTCTTTTGCTATTTAGTGGCAGGATGACAAGATGAAATGCGGAGGAACTTTACGGGGGGGCGGGGGGGTGGTTCGCATAAGTAACTGCCCTGAACCAGCTCCTGGTAGGTGATAGGCGCTGCACAAAATCTAGCCGAAGTCATTGTTGCCAGAAAAACTCGACTTCATTGCCCGTTTATGTTTTATGAAGGGGAAGTCAGTGACGGGGCGATCCCAAAACGCTTGATCAACGTCATCACCCACCTCTGTTTAATTCTCTAGTTTTAGTAAAAACATGCGGAAAAAACGAGGTTTGGTATGAGCACGGTATTGTCGACACCTTTTGCAATCACCAGTGGCGTATACTCCCTCATCAACATCGTCCTCCAGCATGTGGATGCAAAAAGGGCTATAGAAGAGGACTGAGAGGCTGCCAACTGCCTACTCCTACCTGTAGATGACAGTGGGAGAAATCAACAACAACATTTCATGCAAAGTCTTATCTTCATTGTATGAAAGTGCTTATAACCAAGTTTTTTATGAGATAAAAGTTTTATTACGCCGAAGGTTAATTTGAAAGAGCAGAGATGTTTAGGAGCTATCAAGAAGGCTTTAGAACTAAATTTCCCTGTTCCACCAAAGGCGGGACCATCGGTAAGTTAGTTTGAACGTTTCTATCGTCTTTTCTTCCTTGAGGCGGAGGTGATGCTGTGACAAGTAGCGCGCTTACCACCCGCTGTCTGGGTTCAAATTCCCGAATCGACCTCCGACCAGGGCCAACCAAGCCTCGATATCTCCCAGATCTTGTCTGGTAGGGTAAATGAACAAGGGATGTACAATCGCCCGTGGCTGGCCCCCGCAAGTCATTGCTTAGGCCACATCGGCCACTACGATTCTGAATTTAGGCAGAATGCGTGCCGAATCCCCCAAAGTGATTGACAGACAACGAAGAGTTTATCCCTTTACCGTTATATTTGTCGTCTTCTCGAGAGGTATCTGACACCATGTCGGAACTGTCAAAGTTGATTGCGGTGCTTGGCTTTTTATGCGCGGTAGAATCACAAGATCTATAAGGCTGAGCCATATTCAGGCCACTGAGGACGGCGATTCGCGTCGGCACTCTTGGCCACATTGAACGAATGGTCTATGAGACAATTTCGTAACGCAAATAACAACTAAGACCCAAGTGGCATGATGAGGCTGCATGTTAGTAAAATCAGTACTTAGTAGCAGGGAGTAGCTGGAAACTACAAAACAGACTACCCCCTTTTGTGGATCGTGTTTATAACAGCCACTGGTATAATTGAACTCAAGAGATGGGAGTCTGCGCTTAATTTCAGAAGGTATTCCATTCTGTGAACTACAGGGGAAAGGGGAGGGTAGGCGGCAAAAAATAAGACACTTATCTTCCTTGACTTTCAGGGCGCTATGAGTTACACTCTATTAAATTCTGATTGGACATTTCCACGACCATATTCAAGAGCATATTGTATACTATTAGTATACTCTGCCACATTCTTTTGGAAGAGCGTCATCGAGAGATTCTGCCACGCGACCGTGAGTGGGTACCTGAATTCAGCGAGGTCCTTGAGGTCGTTGATTTCTCCGCCACTGTAGACCACCCTGTTGAGTTCCAACTGAACCGGTCAAGTGAGATAGTTCAGGTTAGGTGAAAACACTTACATTTTCCGTCTTCTTCAGGTACTCAACGCTCTTACATCCGAAGTAGGCGAGAGCTTTTCCAACGCCCTTGGATTCCGTAAAGGCACCCAATCCTGTAGCAGTACAAAGTTTACAAGAAGGTACACGCGATGACATGGAGGCATGATATTCTCGATAGGTCGATGTAACCGTCCGCATTCACTTTCAGTCCGGGTCCACGAAGAAAATATCGGTCTTTACATTCCAGGAACTTCCGGTCCATACCATCAACACGCGCCTTCGTGACGGCGGTAAGATGATATCCTGGACCGTAGCGACGTTGTCGGAGCTGCTCCATGTTGGAGGTCTTCCAGATCGAGAGTACTATACTATTCTCCAGGTAGCTTATCCATGGGGATCCATACAAAAATTTCGCAGTGTTCGAGGTGACGTGAATTCCAAACGCTTTTCCGGATCAGGCTGGCAGTTGGGTGACTTCATTGCATGACTTCAATATTTTTGCGGATGTACATGGAGGTGTAGGCGAGCAGCCTGCATCCTGCCTTATCGAGGACGATCTTTTGGGTATCTTCCATCCCTTGGTACTCGTATCCACGTCCTCTGTCTGGGCTGCGGAAACTCTGCCCGATAAATGACTCGGCCAAAGTGTCTTTTTTGACTCCCCTGTAAGTAACAGATATATCGGTAGAACTTTTCCTGTCACCAACTCGTTTCAACAATAAGAGCACAGAGCGCTATATCCTAATGCTTATTCTTAGCAGAGCAAAATCGTTTCTTCTTCCGACAGGTAGGATAAAATTCCTACGTTGGGAACAGAAATGGAATCTTTGACATCGGATAATCCCCTCCTTATACAGGGTGACCAAAAAGTTCTGGCAATCTCGTGTTTGTGCGTTTTTGAATGACCATTATGGTCTGTTTTCTCTCCGATGGGTTATTTGTATTCCGCAGAAGCCATTTCGAACTACCGTACGAGTCATCTATCCAATCACTTTCGATTTCTCCTCGCACTGTCTCGAAAAAATCAAAAAGTTGCAGTTGTTGAAACCCATCTTCTGGTCGGTGCTTGTTGCTTGAAGAATGTGCTCGCCACCGACGAGAAAAATTTTCGATCATAACTACCGGAATTGTTGTCTGCTCCTCAGAAAAGGTCAACAGAAGGCAACGGCTGTTTGAAATTTTCGTCCGACGCAGACTCTTTCCAGCCTCAGTCACGGTCTGAGGCGGGATCTGTGCCACCGGAAAGACCTCTCATTTCTTCATCGAGCGCATCGTAAAGATTAATGCTGTCTACTCCCAACAACGCGTTCTCCGCGATGTACTGAAGCCATGGGTGTGTCGTAGCACTTCGGCCCGGATGGACACGTGCTTCAGCAAGACTGGGAGCCAGCACATCCTGCCAAACCCACGAACTGCCGCTTGTGAAGAGCTGCTTCCCGATTTTGGGGCAAGGACGTTTGGCCTCCCAACTAGCATGGTCCGAACCCCATGGATTATTCCATCTGGGTCGAAAAATCTCAGGAATTCGATGCGCAACGGTTTACCACCTGAAAGTGGCGTTGCTGCGTGTTTGGGACCAAACTACAGCAGAAGAATGCGCGACCATTGTCGGACACTTTGGAAAACGACTACGTAAATGTGTTGAGGCTGAAGGAGGCATTTTTGAACACTTGTTGGAACTTTGTTGTATACGGTCATTAGTACTGATTAGATGAAGACTCCCAGACGTTTAGTTGGCTGATTTCCTTTTTCGAACGGTATTTTTTATGCTACCGAAGTATTCCGAAAAATTGCCAGAACTTTTTGGTCACCCTGTATATGACGTTTCAACACAACCGCTTTCCTCAGTCGTGGTGATATTTTGATAGTATTTCACAAATGATTGCGAGGGTCAGCTAATGAATCTTCCAGCGTTTCCTTTCCCCTCTTCTTTCTTTCCTCCAGAGATGAGTTTGAAAGACATTTGCCGAACCCGGCAGGGAAGCTGAGGAACCGTTCCCTTGACTTCTGATATGTTGATTGCAATCAGTACAAACCATCGATCAAGATAGCCTTCGTAGGTGTACTCCCAGAGGGTTGCGGAAATTCTTCTAGAAGTGTTCTCTGAGTTTTGATGCCTCGCAACCCATGACATTCTAGACGGAGTGGCTTTTCTTATCAGTTCTATGCGCTCGCTT